ATATGTTTATGTTCACCGTTTCGTTAGATGACGCAGTGTTGCTTTATTTGTTAGTATTTCGATGCGGACTGTTCAACGTGTCAAAAAGCAGTAATGTAGTACACGTGGTCATGAAAGATGACGCCAGAATTGTGGTCGGAAAAAGATCCTGCATGAAAGGGACCGGAGACGTGTTTCACGACTTGTCAATCAAAATCGCTTCCAAACCCGATAGGAATTACTTCAGTTAGTAAATATAGGTCCATCCCAACCTGTTAGTGAGAGAATATTGCGACGGGAGCTGCATGCAATGAACATTTGGAGTCGAACATCAAGTAAGAGGCCATTGCTCTCACAGGCACATAAAGCTGCGCGACTTCAGTGAGCTAGAAGTCATCAAATATGGTCAGTTGCTAGCTGGCGGAATAAACTATGGTCTGACGAATCGCGTTTTTGCTTTTATTCAAAGGACGTACGTCGTCGAGTGCTACGAAGAGCAGATGAAGCATTCCATCCTGACTGTGTGCAAAGAGGCCACTAACATGAACCAACAAACTTATTTGAGCATTCCGTAGGATTAGGTGTTGACTTTCAGTCAACTTCTTTATGAAGAGTGTGTTGTCGATATCCCTTTTTTTCAAGATGACAACAGCTGAGTTCATCAGACTGTAAGAATATGTGAATGGTTTTATGATCACTCAGACACTCAATTACATCACAAATGGCCTGCATCATCACCTGACTTGAATCCCATGGAAAATTTGGGGGACATATTGGAACAACGGGTAAAACGCCAAAGTCAGCCTTCATGCAATTTGGTGGATTTGAGCTATCAAATCCTCAAAGAGTGGCTAATACTGGATTCGACGTACCTGCAAAGCCTTGTGGACACATTTCCTAACCAAATTTAGGCGTTTATCGAATCCAGTCCAGAGGCGGCGTCACATGCTATTAAATGATCATTTGAACTCAGGTTTTTCATGATGAAAGAGTCATGATGATGAGTGAAAGGTCTTTAAATGATGATTATCATAATTATTCTTTTAAATACAAGTAATATATCAGGTAACAAATGCTCGCATACACGAAATATTACTCAAAAGAGTCTCATACACACAATGATCATGCTATGAGACGTCTCATAGACGCCAAGCTGTATAGCTTCAAAACACTGGAAACAGTAACCCAGACGTATAGGCAGTAAAGAGCTATAGCTGTGCAGCTTAGCCTAGAAAACATAATCCATACAAAATGCTCTTATTGACAATAAGTCTCTCGGTTTAGCTAAGTTTCAAAGGGATTATTTAAGCCACTTTTCTTTCCATGTCACAGCACGTTACATGTAAAACGTGTAATATCTGGAATTCCTTATGAATGTAGAAAGAGTGACACGACCCTTCTTCTTCAATTTTTACCCTAAGTGAGCGATTATTATCTATGGTCAAAAAGTTAGTGAAATATGAATTAATTTGCACAATCAATTTGCAAAGTCAGACGAAAGTCATCATGCAATCACAAGGTTAAAATTTTGATCTAGTGAAATTACAATCATGTAAATTTTGTGATGTTTTAAATTAACAAGTGATGTTTTAAATTTATCAATCGTACTTTTTTTTGTTTGAAAATTTTATTCATTTATTTATTGTTGTGTTTAAATTGTTAGTTCCCTTGTGTGGTTTCTGTTTGAATTGAGACAAGTGATAATTACATTTCATGTGCTGGAGTTTGTTTCGACTCTGTTGTCATCTGGACGAATGTCATTTAACAAAAATATTATTTAGTTAATACAGTTTAGCTAATATAGTGATTGATATCAATACATAATAATATTAAATATATTAATGTATTGGAAACAGGATATTATTTTTTTATGTTTTTTTTTTGCCTTAATATATTGTTTCAAATTTTTCTTTTACGCTTGTATTAATATAAAAGAAATTAAAGTTGCGAAATAAAACTGTTAGTTTTCTAATTCTTCTTAAAATATGTTTCATTGTTCAGTATTACTTCTAGATTTTTTCAGATATTAGAAATTAATTATGATATTTTTGCGCACATATGATCTAACGTAACCATGTCATAATGTCCGTTTTCATTTTAACTATAGATATCAAGCGTTAACTGCAGTAAAGCTTAACCTTTACACGTAGTGCAAAAAAGCCCGTTGGATCAACTACACGGCTGATATAAAATATCCTTAGTAGTAAACGGTTTATGCTATAGAATCCTTTTGCTATCTGGCTAACCGTTGGTGGATTTCATGGTTCTCCTCTTGATGTAGCGCAAAAACGAATTAGTTCTGGCAAAAATTTCTCCATGAATGCTAAGCCGTTCCACCCTGGAATTCCCTTGTCTTTGATCCTGGATTTCCCTTGTCTTCTTGCTTGGGTTCAAAATCCTAAGGCTTCAGAGTTGAACATTGATAATCGTAAACTCCAAACTCGGTCAGATGTTCAGCGCCAGTTATAAAATTAAATGTAATCGCAGGTTTATTTTACCTGGTGAGTAAAGATGTCAATGATACACTGAGTATGAATGACGGAAATACGAAATATTTCTGAAAATAACATGTTCTGACGCGACTAATCAATGAATAATTTTATCACCATGGTTTGTAAGGGTATCAGGAATTTAACTATTTGTAGCATGATTGCTTATTTCAAGAATGTAGTATGATTAGTGTGATTAATAGCACTTTTATACACAGTAATCTTGTTTTTTTTTTTTTTTTTTTTTTTTTTTTTTTTTTAAATTTTTTAAAATGTTTTTTATATTTGAGTGTTATAACAATGCACTCAGAATCTTATAATGGTTTTTTTAAAACTAAATGTTTACACGTGATTTATTATTTGTTTTTAATTAGCCTTATTCCAAACACCTCAAACTTTTACGTTTTTGCTTTGAAAACTGTTGAAAAACTAAACACTATAAAAATTAAGAACCGATGATCAATTATGCTGTGTTCAATCGTAAATACTGTAAATAATATTTTAAGTAAGGAAATTACTTCTAGATGTAAAACTTTGAAAAGTTTTGAAAATTATTTCCAATTTTAACAACTTTATTAGAAAAGTTTAACCTTTTTTAATGAATTTTAATCACACCAAATTGGATTCGGTAGAACTAGGAAAAATAACTTAAAAATAAACTACACAGTTAAAAAGAAAAATTCAATAATTCAAAATATTTATTTTTCAAGTATCTTAATTAACATAACTATTACATGATTTAATATCCATATCTGGCGTAGCCTAAACCACCTAAGATGCCTAATCCATAACCACCATATGCTCCTCCGTATCCACCATAAGCCCCTTCATATCCACCATAAGCTCCGCCATATCCACCATAAGCTCCACCATATCCTGCACCAAGTCCTCCGTATCCGTAACCTAGACCACCAAGTCCGTATCCGGCTGTTGCTGCAGGGACACCCAAATATCCTTCACCACCGGTGTAAGGGGCATCGGAAATCAGTTGAACGGCAGCTGGATTTTGATTGGCGGTTCCAGGTTCGTTGGTCTTGACCTGAGCTCGAAATCCAGCATGGTCAGCAACGTAGTTTACTTGTCTTTTGATGCCTCTATCATCTGTGAACCCGTAGCTGCCAGTCACGTGTCCTCCTGTTCCGGATTCCTCTCTGTGTTGTTCTCCATGTTTGTCCTTGATGCTGTATCCGAATTTGTAGGGTTTGGGTGCATGGTGAACTGGCTAAATAAGAAAAATNGCTTCAGAGTTGAACATTGATAATCGTAAACTCCAAACTCGGTCAGATGTTCAGCGCCAGTTATAAAATTAAATGTAATCGCAGGTTTATTTTACCTGGTGAGTAAAGATGTCAATGATACACTGAGTATGAATGACGGAAACACGAAATATTTCTGAAAATAACATGTTCTGACGCAACTAATCAATGAATAATTTTATCACCATGGTTTGTAAGGGTATCAGGAATTTAACTATTTGTAGCATGATTCCTTATTTCAAGAATGTAGTATGATTAGTATGATTAATAGCACTTTTATACACGGTAATCTTGCTTTTTTAAAATTTTTTTTATATTTGAGTGTTATAACAATGCTCTCAGAATCTTATAATGATTTTTTTAAAAACTAAATGTTTGCACGTGATTTATTATTTGTTTTCAATTATCCTTATTCCAAACACCTCAAACTTTTACGTTTTTGCTTTGAAAACTGTTGAAAAATTAAGCACTACAAAAATTAAAAACCGATGATCAATTATGCTGTGTTTAATCGTAAATACTGTAAATAATATTTTAAGTAAGGAAATTATTTCTGGATATAAAGTTTTGAAAATTAAGGGTTCCAATTTTAACAACTTTATTAGAAAAGTTTAACCTTTTTTAATGAATTTTAATCACACCAGATTGGTTTCGGTGAAACTTGGAAAAATAAACTACACAGTTAAAAAGAAAAATTCAATAATTTAAAGTATTTATTTTTCAAGTATCTTAATTAGCATAACTATTACATGATTTAATATCCATATCTGGCATAACCTAAACCACCCAAGATACCTAATCCATAACCACCATATGCTCCTCCGTATCCACCATAAGCTCCTCCATATCCACCATAAGCTCCGCCATATCCATTATATCCGAGACCACCGTAACCTGCTCCAAGACCTCCATATCCATAACCTAGACCTCCAAGACCGTATCCGGCTACTGCTGCAGGGACACCCAAATATCCTTCTCCACCGGTGTAAGGGGCATCAGAGATGAGTTGAACGGCAGCTGGGTTTTGGTTGGCAGTTCCCGGTTCGTTGGTCTTGACCTGAGCTCGGAATCCAGCATGGTCAGCAACGTAGTTCACTTGTCTTTTGATCCCTCTATCATCTGTGAATCCGTAGCTACCAGTCACATGTCCTCCAGTTCCGGATTCCTCTCTGTGTTGCTCACCGTGTTTGTCTTTGATACTATATCCAAATTTGTATGGTTTTGGTGCATGGTGAATGGGCTGAAATTGATACAAATTCTAAAATCTATGCACTAAAAAATATATTGATCGAAATGTTATGTTTGAAAGATGCATCAATGAGAAACTTAAAATGAATGACTCAATTTTATAAATGTAGTACGCAGGGCTTAATAAATACATTCGTAAACTCAAAATCCGCGAACTCAATATAGGGCAGACTTTTCAATGCCGGTTACTTATCAAAATAAAGCATTAATAAGGGATTAGTTCAAAAGGAATGTTAAATATTTGAAAACGTTCAAAATTTGCGATCAGTTATATTTCTGTATACACATAACGTTTTTAAGAATACCCATATTTATTAAATTGAACTTACCTCATGCAGGTGGGCAAGAGAAATAGTTGCCAAAGCAGTCAGAAGAAATACCTGAAAGTGACAAAAGTTTGTTTTTAAAAAGTTATATTTAAAAATTAATATACGAATTCTTGGATTGACAAAAATTGTGAAATACAGCCGAATAGATTCGATAGAAAAATGAAGGAAAACTATGTTTTCCCACTTCCATGATATAACTAGAACATTTGTACTAGTTAACTAATAGATTCGATTGTGAAACTTATGACCTTTCACCTACAAAATATATTTTGTATCTTTTTGTGTAAGTTAACTGATAGATTCGATAAAAAAGAAACTTTGAACTCCCAACCAGCAAACTACAAACGAAATCGGCAAGAGGATGGCTCCCCACTTTGGAAGCCCGACGTTCTACACTTGAAAACAATCACTTTATGAGATAACAGTTCAATCAGGACCGATACCACACATCCTCTGTCCCTTAGCAGGCTGATGAAAGCGGTTACCCAACCGCTCACTGTCATCAACCAGTGATGTTTGATTTCGGTGATCTACTGGGACAAACAGTCTTACAAAACCGTAAAAAATATGGCTGATTCGATAAAAGAAAACTATTACCTCCCACTTTCTGGATATAACTAGAATCTTTCGTAGGAGTTAATTAAGATATTTTATAAGAGAAACCTTTAATATCTAGCATACTGGACTTTTGTCGAATCTACTAGTTAACTCAAATCTTTCGTAGAAGTTAACTAAAAGATTTGATAAAAGAAAACAATGATCCCCCACTTACTGAATATAGCTAGAATCTTTCATAGAAGTAAACTGTCAGATTCGATTCGATTCGAAATTTGATCAATAGATTTGATTCGATAAATAGATCTGATCAATAGATTCAATTCGATAAATAGATTTGATAACAGAAAACTCTGACCTTCCACTTACTTGATATAACTAGAATTTTTGGTAGAAGTAAATTAATAGATTCAATAAAAGAATGTTATGTCCTGACACTTACTGAATAAAACTAAAATCTTTCCTAGAATCATAGATTCGATAAAAGAAAACTATAACTTCTCACTTCAAGTTCTATAACTCAGAGATGCGTTATAACTTGAATCTTTCTTACATGTTAACTAATGGATTTGATAGAAAAAATCTATGATCTTCCACCTACAGGATACAGGATATAACTGGAATCTTTTTTTTAGAAGTTAACTGAAATTCGACAAAAAAAGAAAAGAAATTATGACTAACCAACTACAGGATATCATTGAAATCTTTTGTTATAATTTTGATCAAACTAAGACACACTTTAAAGGCATTTGAACCTTTGAAATAAAATTGTTCAATACATTTTTACTTTTCCATATTCTTTCTCATTTAGATGGTAATGTGCATCTTTAATAAGATTAAATAATAGGGTAAAAATGAAAAAAAAAATAACTGAACTGTCATTCCATAAGTATTATAGTTTTCTTTCACTTAATATCAAATTACTTTTTTTTCTTTAAATTTATTTATTGAAAGACTTATTTTCCATAAATGACATACGATACCTTATTCAAAAACTTAGAAGAAAAATTGTGATGTATTTTATTTGAAATTTTGAATCAAATCATTCCAAAATTTTTCAATTTTTTCCAATTTTTTTCAATTTTAAATTGATCCAAATTTTTTTGAAAAATAATGTACCTATATAATGTATAAATGCTTCAAATTTATCGAAAAACATTCTGCACTGTTAGAAATTTCTCGGAAAAAAATAGTTAAATAACAATTTATGTAATTGTTACTTTACTATATTCAAACAAAACAGTCAAATTATCATAAATATAGTATTCAAACTGCTGACTGCGAGAAAAACTGTTTATTAACTGTTCCTAATACGTTTAAGCAACTAGAATTCATCGCATCAACTAGACCCATTTAATGAAACAACTCTGTTCCTTGCAGATGGGTTCTTATATAGCAGAGAGGGCTAATAACTCAATCTAATGATCAACAGTTCTTGGGGTTTGAGCCCCAACGATGACATCAAAATATTACTTTCATCACATGAAAAATTTCCAGTGTCCTACGCTCTCTTATTTGTGACCCTGGGCTATTAGAATACGATACTCTCATTCACGCATAGATGACAGCGCCATAAGGCTGTTAAACTATCTCCAATGTTCATTTAAATTCTTTTTTAGGGTTTTGAAACCATGCTAGTTGTAAATGTTTTAAAAAAACGTGAATTTTTGTATTCATACCAGTTGTAAACGGTTTCAAAACTGTAAACGTAAAAAAAAAAATGCTCTCTACCGTAAACTTTACTCTTAATTGAATGGACAGACTGCTGCCGTTCATTTTATCATAATTTTAGAATGAAAATTTTAAAAGTGTGGAAAAAATTATTAAATAAGTATAACCTTTATATAATTTATTTTATTCTTTGTATTTTATTCTCTGCATTTTAACTTTCAAATTGATCAGTGATTATAATTTATGCAATTTTGGTAACGAAAATATATAGAAAATTATTTTTTTTGTATTAATTTAACAAAATAAGTAAAAAAATATTGTATTTAGCATTTTTATAATTTATGGTTATGAATTACAGTATGAATTACCGGTGTCTTCTTCTGCGCTAAAGTTAAAATCATTTCAAGTTTTCAATTAAATAGAACTTAGTAATTCTCATTTGTAATTAAATAGAACTTAGAGAAACATTTATTCATCATTGAAATTTATTTAATTTACAAAATCAATTATTGATACATTTTTGAGTAGGAATGAAATTTTTGCTTGTTTTTAAACTCATTTTTTGGATTTTATATTTTAGTACAAATATAAGTCAAACAATCTAATGGATTTTTTTAGTAACTATTAGATTTTTTATGTTTAAAAAAATACCAAAATACATCTTTGCTTGTTTTTAGGGCATCAGAAAAAAATATATAAAAGACATATTTATTTTAATGTGCATCAAGGGATTAAGTGAAATAAATAATTAAATATTTTACACATTATTTTGTTTCAGTAATTTGAAATGCTACAATCAATAACCATAAAAGTTTCATATAGAATATTTCAAATCTTAAATCCGAAATTAAAATACAGTGAAATAATAAGTACTGAAATTTCTGCCATGTTCAAACTTGAAACAATGTGAGAAGGAAACATAATACAAAAGTTGAAATATTATTACCTGAGCGATCATATTGATTGCTAGAATGTTCAAACGATTGTACTGTGTGAAAATGAGAGTTGTATTTATATATGAATAAATCAAAACGATCGCAATGCGATCAAAATGCAGTAATAAACAAATATGTTCACACTTGATTGATCACATTCAAGAGACAAGTATTAAAAGAGTGATATAATATGTTTCAACAATAAAATAAAGATTATTGTGAAAGAAACCAATCAGATTTTCGGGTTAATGTATTCACTTATTATAGATAATTTGTGTTTGATTTTCTGATGCAATCTTATCAAATTCTTTTACGGATTAATGGCATTAAGTCAATGTTAAAATGACCAATACCATCACGCAATGAATGTCACAGTTAAAAAAATGAACAAACATTTAATTACCTTGTGTTCTCTTCATACATTTAAATATTTCTTTACACAGGTAACATTTATTAACTTAGTGAAAAGCTTATAAAATTTTTATATTTCTAAGTATTTTTTTAAAATTTTATTTAGAAATCTTTTATTGGGGCGTCCATCAAGGAAACAATGCGACGGAATGGTTTCTTTAGGGGGTAATACACGTTTCAAAAGGGTAAAAAACACACACTTTCTTTAAACTATTTTTTAATACATTAAAATTAATTATCTCAGTTTAAACTTTATAAACATACGGACGAATAACATTAATATTTTTTTCTTCTAAATTTAAAGTAGATATCTTTTAATACTTGGATCAATAATCTAACATTGCCCACAGAAAACAAGAAGCCATACTATAGACTTGCGTTAGCGGTTGTAAGATTTTCGAAGGTGAAAAAAAAAGAGATTTTTCTCTAATTTTTTCAATATATAAAAATAATTGTTTTAAATAAACTGCATAAGCGTATGGAAGAACTATACTAATTTTTTTAAAATTTTAAGTCGATAACTTTTATTACTTGGATCAATAATCTAACATTGCCCACAGAAAACAAGAAGCCGTACTATGGAGTTGCTTTAGCGGTTGTATGAGTTTTAAAAGGGAGGAAAAAGAGCACTTTCTTTAATGTTTTTTACTGTACTAATATAATTATCTCATCTAATTATTTGAACTTGATAAGCGTAGAGAAAAACAATACATAAAAAATTATATATTTTAACTTTTATTGGTTAATATTGCATATTGAATATTATTGTATGATATATGTATATATTTGAACTTTTAAAAAACTTTTATTGTGTTTTTCAAAATTATAACTATGGCAGAAAACAGGATGCATGCGCTGGAGTTTCATTGGAGGGTAGTATAGGTTAAAACGTTGAGGGCATAAGAACATAAATTCTTTACTAATTTTTCTAAGTAGGGGAAGAGCGGGCAAGATGAACCGCTTAAGGAAACTTGGCTTAAAAAATAGTAAACTAGAGCAATTTTATATATTTTACACTGTAAACATATAGTGAGAACATTGCTCTTATATATCTCATGCAGAAAATAAATAAATAATAAAGTTAAGCAATAATAACTTTACATAAACAAAAATAGAACATTGGCCCATCTTGCCCGGGCTACCCGGGCAAAATGGGACATATAATTATATTTTAAAAATCACAGAAATTAATGTCAAAATAAAAGAATAATCGACAAAAAAACGCTCTCAAACATCACAGTTACTGCATAAGATGCGGATAAATTGTAAATTGTAAGATAAATTGTTAAGTTATATTTTATATTATAAACTTATATATAGTTATATATAAGTTTATAATTTGTTAAGTTATATTTGCTAGTTCATATTTTTATTGCTAATATTACCCTATTTTTTATGCTTTTTGCCAAATCCGGAGAGTTTAATTTTTATATTACACTTTTATTCTACTATGGCTGTCCCATCTTGCCCGGATAGTACAGGGTGTTCCAAAATTATCTTTACAACTTCAAAAATTCATAACTTCGAACATAAACAAGATATTTATATTCTGTCCTTTGCGTGTATTACTGAAACTAATAAAATTTTTTTTCAATAGGCTGAAAAGTTTTAAGTGAGGATGTGGACACCAAAACAGAAAGCTCATTGCGTCTCATGGTTCATAGAGACGAAATCAGATACACAGGTTCAACGGAACTTCAGGACAAATTTCCAAAGAGACCCACCATCCAGACCCTCCATCCGTGCATGGCACACAAGCTTCATGAGCAACGGATCAGTATTGCACAAAAGTGGAGCCGGACGACCCAGCACAAGTCCAGAAAATTTGGAGCGAATACGGCCATGAGACGCATTGAGCTTTCTGTTGTGGTGTCCACATCCTCACTTAAAACTTTTCAGCCTATTGAAAAAAAACTTTATTAGTTGCAGTAATACATGCAAAAGACAGAATATAAATATCTCGTTTATGTTCGAAGTTATGAATTTTTGAAGTTGTAAAGATAATTTTGGAACACCCTGTACATTTTTTAAAAAAAATATCCGCAAATTTGTTTAAACAAATAAATTTTAATTTACACTACTCATTATGTTTTTACAATAATGACACTGCAGGCCCACAAATTCGAAAAATTTATTGCAATGTATTAAACAAATAATGTCAGCATACAAACCTGGAAAAATATTTTAACACGATGTAAGAAAAACAAAACAATGCTTGCATTTTGGTAACACCTTGTGAACTGATGAAAAAACTTGTGCGTATTGAGAACAATAATTTTTTCCTTCCGAATACGCACTTTAGATGTCGCTACCGTGAATGCGCATAGAAAAAAAAGCGATGTCCCGTCTTGCCCGGTGGTCCCATCTTGTCCGAGCTTCCCCTATATGATACTTAAATCATACGGTAGAGCATTTAAACGACATATTTTAAAATGTTGCCTTGAACATTTCGATAGTTTAGTTTATTAGTACATATGACATAAGTGGCAAAAAACAGGATGCATGCAGCATGGACAAAAGAGTACATTGTTTATTATTTTTCAATCTAATAAACACCTATTTCATTCAAATCTAAGCATATAGAAGTACATTTGAACATTTTTTAAAAGCTTTGCGAAGAAACCTTCCACAGGGAGGTTTAATAATATAACATTGGTGGCTGCAAACAGGATGCACACAATGCCTTAGTGAGTTATATGAGTTTTAATAAGGAAAAAAAAAAAGCCTACTTATTGAAGTCATGTATACAATTCTTCATATTACAATTGACTGGATGTGGAACGATAGATTAAAAAAATTAAAATTTGAATCGAAAGGAAAAAAAAACGACTTTGGGTTAAATTTATACCAACGCATTGTAGAAATATTTGCCCTCCAATAAGAATACCCTTCCAATCCTATCCTTTACTCAATAACTAGTTAATGTTCTCATGAAAAAATATTCAAAATTTCAATACGAACGAGGTATTAGGTTTTGAGAAATCGCATCGATTAAATTTTTCTCTTTTTTTTGCACTATGGACTGGACACCATATTTTCTTGACATCAATGATCTAAACACACATTCTTTTTTTAAAACCTTGATATTTATTTGGGTATCGAGTAGTAATTTTTTGTATAACTAGTCGTCTTGTTTCAATTAGAGTTAGACAAAAGGAATCATCTGAGTGATTCGAATCAATAAAATCATCTCACTTTGTTGATTCGAATTACTGATTCAAACCAATTGGATTCGAATCAATGATCGTTAGTAATCAATTAACCAATTGAAACGAAACATCGAGTCAATTCAGTGATTCGAATCCGAATCAGTACCCAACTCTAATTTCGATGCTTCCCCCCCAAAAAAAAACAGTTTTTAAACTCGTAGGGTTTAGATATTCGTGCTCCGTTGGGGTTACACCAAAAATTTACAAGAGCTCTAAATCCTTTTTTTCAAAATTTAAAACAAATTTAAATTCAGTGAAATTGAAGATTAATTTTACAAAACTTAGAAGCAATATAAAAATTTCGAAGCCTTGAAACGTTATCGATCTCTTAAAAATAGCCTTTTTTTCTTCTGTTCTAACTTATAAAATTTCTTTTGCTCCCATGCATGAATTTTTTCAATTACAGTATCATTATTAAACCGATCGAATATCTGATTTGAACGGAAAATCACGGAACGGATTTTCCGTTCCGTGATTTTTTTTAATGGATTTTGTTTGTCTTCTTATACACTTTGACTTTAATGGATTGAAAGTTTTGCGACATGAATTAAAATACTGGAAGATGGTATTTTCAACATTAGAAATGCATTTAAAACACTAGAAAATATTATATTTATTTTTCACATTGCATTATGCTTCAGATTGATTTGGTAAATTCTGATACCAGGGTTACAAGTTTCATAAATATTTTTAACGTTTTGATATTCCTTTATGCAATTCTATGTTCTGTGTTATATGTTTAAGTTATTCTTTTGTTTCTCATATGTTAGCATTCGTTTGAGCTGCTTTATAAAGTGAGTCTAATTTAATGTCTAATTTGCTGTTGAGTAATTCTAAAATGTGTGATTAATGTTTTCGTTAATAATTTGTTCCAGTCCTTATTTTAAAACCCCTGAATACAGTCTTCTACGTCTCGTGATTTGTCAACTTGCGTTTCGCAGTTGATGGCAATTTCGCAATTGAAAAATATTTCATTGCAAAATTTTTGTTTGTCTTAGTTATTTGCTTTTCAAACATTTGTAAAGTTTTGATATTCTTTTGTGTACTTCTATGCTTTGTATTTAATGTTTACGTTATTCTTTCGTTTTCCAATATTTTAGTATTCTTTTGTGTCGTTCTAAAATATGTGATTAATGTTATTGTTAGCATTGTGTGTCATTACAATTAATTAATGACCATAACTGCTTTTGTCCTACATATTCTAATTTTTCAGATTGCATTTCACGATATTTGCAATCACGCACTTAAAATAAAAATTATTACAAAAGCATAGATTGTCTTAGTTCAAAGCTTCATAAATATTTGTAACATTCGTTTGAGAAATTCCATGTTTTGAATTTAATGTTTACGTTATTCTTTCGTTTCTAATATATCAGTATTCTTTTGCGTCATTCCGTAATTTGTGCTTAAATTTGATGTTAGTATTTTGTGCCATCCTGCTTTTTAAAATCCATGCCTACGCTGATATATTCTAACTTTTCAGCCGTATCTCGAGGGGTATTTCTCGTATTTCGCCAATTCTTGAGAACTTTTTCAGCAAATTAAAAATTGTTGCACACGATTATAAAGTTCGTTTTTCCAATGAGAATTCCATGCAAAAATTAAATTTTAGTAAGTGTTTATTATTTTTTTATTTTATAAAATAATAGTCAAAATAATTTTGAATGGTAAGGTATACCGTTTTTTAAGCCATTTTAAAGTGCGTATTACAAAGCGAAATACAAAATTCGGGCGAAATCAGTTAAATAGTTTCCTGAGAAATCGGTTGAATAGTTTCCTGAGAAGAAGTCGCATTTTTAAAATTCGATTTTAGGAACTATTTGACCGAATCCGCTCAAATTGCGTATTTTGCCAGGTGAAATTACATATTTAAAAAATTGCATACCATACCATTCAAAACTTTTTCGATTACTATAAAGTGAAACAGAAAAAAAATAAATAATAAAAAAATATTTACTAAAATGTATTTTTTGCATGGAATTATCATGGGAAAAAGGAATTTTGTAATTGCTGGCAAAAATTTTTCAATTCTCTTAAACAGTTATTGAGATATGGGGAGAAACGTAAAAGTAAAATTAACATTAAGTAGTTCAAACTTTGGATCGCTCTCCTGACAAAACTATGGGTACCATATTTCTTGGATTGCAGCCACCCCCTATATTTTGAGGATCATAAATCCTAATCCATTGCAAATAGGGTATATTTATTCAGATAAAGTACGTTTTTGTGTCTGATTTCGTAACTTAAATTACAGGCAGCACTAATTAATTAACATATTTGAGGTCACTACCTCAAATCATCAAGATTGAATTCAGGAACGTGAAGATCCAGTTATTAGACCAAATGTTATTTAGGGTGGTCATATTATTTTGGCGTACCATACCTCAAATTAAATGGTTAAGCTCGTTACACAATTTGTTAGCTGTTACTTTAATAGAATTGAGGCATTCTTCCTTTTTTTAATGACACCACATTTTCTATCTAACATAATTTTTGGCAAGAAGTGTTTTTCAAACAATCGAGCACGATTTTGTAATCTATTGAAGGCATTTATGTAGAATGAAGAAAATAACATACAATAAATTGCAAAAGGTTTTATTCCCATTCTATTCCGTTACAAAATTTAATATCCGTATCTGGCATAGCCCAAGCCTCCTAAGATGCCCAATCCATAACCACCATATCCACCATAAGCTCCTCCATATCCAAGATTTCCATATCCACCATAAGCTCCACCATATCCTTGGCCACCATAAGCTGCTCCAAGGCCTCCATATCCGTAACCTAAACCACCAAGACCGTAACCTGATCCGATGCCTCCATATCCGTAACCTTGACCACCAAGACCGTATCCGGCTGCGGCTGCAGGGACACCCAAATATCCTTCACCACCGGTGTAAGGGGCATCAGAAATGAGTTGAACGGCAGCTGGGTTTTGATTAGCGGTTCCAGGTTCGTTGGTCTTGACCTGTGCTCGGAATCCAGCATGGTCAGCAACGTAGTTGACTTGTCTTTTGATGCCTCTGTCATCTGTGAATCCGTAGCTTCCAGTCACGTGTCCTCCGGTTCCAGATTCTTCTCTGTGTTGTTCTCCATGCTTGTCTTTGATGCTGTATCCGAATTTGTAGGGTTTTGGTGCATGGTGAACTGGCTAAATTAGAAATAAAGGGTTCTTTATTATTAATCATTGCTCGTTGCAACGAAAAATCACATTATTACATTCATTATGAACGAGATCGAAAATTGCTCAAATACGCACGAAAGTATTTTTGCTTTTTTCTTAATTCTTGCTTTTTCTTATTAATTTTTTGCAATTTAATGTAATGTTATGAGAAAATAATATGTATGTTAGTTCGATAACTTATTGTTACTTATATACTTATTACATAACTTCAACCGTTGTCTTTGCTAAACCTAAAGTGATATTTTGAGCTAGAAACACCAATTAACAATATTTATGAACATAACAATAACATAACATAAGAATATTAATGAATTATAAGAAATTTTTAAGTTAGTTTTCTTCTAGGATAACTAATGCTAAATTAATCCAAACTAGATAAATGAGGATGAATAAAGAAAAATCAGGTAATTAACTTTGAATGAAGCTAAGTAAGATAACTGTAGCTTAGTATGGAAAAATAAGATAATTAATGTTGAATGAAGCTAAATAAGATAATTGATATTGAATGAAGCCGAATAATTAATGGTAAATGAAACTAAATAAAAGATGAGCGATTAAATTAAACTGAATGAAACAATCTGCAGATAATAAAATACAGTAGAAATATTGAAATAAACTTACTTCATGCAAGTGGGCAAGAGAAATGGTTGCCAAAGCAGATAAGAGAAATACCTAAAAAAATACATAAATTTAATATTTAAATGTTGCTAAATTTAAAGAAAACTTTTGCTAGTTTCTTAAAACATTTCATTTAGAAATTCTTTTTTCGTTTTTTGTACTAAATTATTCACTAGTTAATTTTAAAATCTAATTTCTATACTAAAATGGGGAATAATTTACTAGATTTTTCAAGAAATAAGATTTTAGTTAAACACTCAATTAAAAATTTTACTTGGTAAAGAATGAGCGAAAATTGAACTAGTTATTCCTTATTATTTATTTCACAATCGGTAAACTATTCAAATATTTATTTATTTATTACGTAACGCGACTTTGTATTGAAGAACTACCATTTTTTTAATTATTTTATTTTTGTTTATAATATTAATTCAGAGTGGATACCACCTGTGGAGAACAGTCTGCTCATCGGCAAGTCCAATTGTGCAGCTCATTGGAAATAAAAAAAAAAATAAAAAATATTAATTCTCAGTTAATAAATATGAAATTTATGTTTAAGTTAATTTCACTTCCAAAAATTATTTTAGACTCGTAGTTACTGACGGTTATTTTTGTAATTATTGTAAATAATTTGATCAATTAATAAATTAATATTGCAAAAAGTTTAATAAATTAATATTGTAAATAATTTAATCATTAAAGAAATTTCTGCAAAATGTTTTAATATATTAATTTCAAGGAACTAATACAAAAATTCTGAAATGTAAACTTTTTAATAAATACATTAGTAACTTCTGATTATTATACTAAAGTAGAAGTATAGGTTATTTCAGACACTTTGTTATCTAAAATTTATGTATGCATTGGAATAAATTATTAAATAAAAGTTTTTAAAATTGTTTTATTTACTTATCGAAGAAAAAAATTCTTTATTTCCCATGAAAATTTCAACAATCATGTTTTAAACACGAAAATGATATAGGGTTTTCTTTTTATGTATTTTATGAAACTACCCTCCAATCTAAATAACTATCTTCTTTACTTCCTGGCAAAAATGTTATTAAATTATTAAATACGAATCATAAATTTACTCTATATATGTTTGAAAAAATTGATTGAAACCTTTAAAAAAGACTACATTATTATAAAAAAATATGTTATCCTTTATATTTTTAAAGTTAATAAAACATTTAAAAGAATAAAACAATTCTAAATGTAGAAAGAAATTTATTTAAAACTGCTAGAGCTAAATAAGTAATTTTCAACAAAAATAATAATAAGAAGTAAGATTGTATTTTTACTAGTTTTCCTAAAAATATTCTAATAAAATAAAACTTCGAAATATTATGATAAAATGTATTTTTTTGAAATTTTTAAAATGTTCTTTTGTTTTTTGCTATTAATTTAATGCTAACCACTCCTAAAGTTTAATTATTGAATCAATAGTATCAATCGTTTTTCCTATAGCAACAACTAAAATTTAACTTTATTGATAAGTTAATAAAAAAGGAAATAGCTATTTTACCTGAGCGATCATGTTGATTACTTGAGATTGATACGAATAGTACTGTTTGAAAGTAAGAGTCGTATTTATATAAGTGGTCGGAATCGGACTCAACTATACAAAATATAGAAATAACTGGAATTTTTTCAACACATGATTGATTGATTATTCCGAGGACGTAGATTAAAAGAATGATAAGAGACATTTAAAATGAAATAATGTACATTATGAAATAAACTGTTGCGATTTCCAAGTTCACGCATTCTACTTTTGAAAATAACTTAGTTATGATTTTATGAAGAAATGGTAACAAATTTTCAAATGTTTTAATGGATTAATATGATCACAAATATTTCTTAAAAATGTTGTTTGTTAAAAACAAAAGAAATTAAAATGAAATAAAATACCAGTTTGAAATATTACGCTTTTCAAAAAGAAGAAAAGAATTATATTTTTGTTGAACCAAAGACGAAAATCGTGGAGCGTCTCACTTTTGAATGACGTGGGAAGGTGGGAAATTTTCGGTGCTTATTTTTCATTTCAGGTCAGATCAAAATAGAGAATAATTATCTTCTTTTCAGTTGACTTTTATCAGTTTTTTAGTTCAAAATTTTTAATTTATTTTATATTTTCTCCTTTTTAATTTTGTGTCAGTTTATTTATGCCGGAAAGCGGTAAAAATTTAGATTGGCGAAAAATTTTGCGATAAGCGATTAAAATAACGATAAATAATAAACGATTGAAAATAGTATTGTCATCCAACATAGATCTCTAGTTCAGCTTTGAACTCTTTGCGAAGTTTGGAAGTTATCTGAATTTTTATTGATGATAATTTCTACACGGATAAAAAATTCTGGAAAAATTAACTTACTGTGTGGTAATGACATTTCTGGTAAAAAAATATGATTATGGCTAATAAAACCAAATTTACGGTATGATTTGATAATTTTTCCGATCATATGGTAACGATTTATTGAATATTCTGGTTCTCAAATTTAGGGTTCTTATGGTTCTTAGTTATGGTTCTTATGGTTTAGGTCAGGGTTCTTATAGAACGACAATTCATTTATAAAATACAAAATTGTAAAGTAAATTTAATCGACTTAAAGGCTTCTATGCCATTCCATAAGGTATCATAATATAATTACCAAAATCTTTCCTCATATAAGAAATTTTATCACATTATATAAAACAGTATTTTATTGTTAATTTTATAAAAATCATTACCACTAAGCTTTTTGATGTTCTCATAAAGCCAGCAATACCATAAATTTTACCATATTCCGATAGTTCTTACCATTCTTTTTTTTTTCTCGGAGCACATGTTAATAATATGACGATAAATTTTTATTGTAATAATCAGGCAGGTGTCTACTTAAAATTGCATTTTTGCCAAGAATAATTATTATTTGTGCTTCTCACCTAGTCATAAAATGGACAGATTAATGATAAAATGCAACTGCTGACAAGGCAGTAAACTCAGTTCTTAGCGGCCTGTAAACAGAATGTTAAATGTTCTATATTATCGACAATCAATCCATTCAAAATGGATGCTTGAAAAATGGATTTTTCTCCTACATTTAACAATCGTCTTTGTAATAAATTTAACTGCAGACGATTACGTTTTTCAAATATTTAAAAGCTAACATAAATGATGCTTGCTAGCTTATAGCTCTATTCAATCAAAAAATAAGACATTCCGTCTTCATTAATATTTAATAAGGCTCCTATATTATCAGAGCTGACCTATCAAGCAATATTGGAGCAAACAAGTTCGCAAGTTAACGTTATGTTAGTATTGTGCATATGTTAGCTCTTTGCTCCAAAAATAGATGATAAGTCGGCCAGTCTAATTCAGGGGATCTAATATTTAATTATTTATTTGTTACGTCAGATAGGATCAATGATTAACGGGTTGATTATGTGAAGGCTACTTCTCCGAATTTCTATCTCCTAAGTTATTTGAAACAACGAGATTATTTTGTTTAAAGTTACGCTTTTGAATCGTATTTCTGAAAAAACAAAGAACTTAAATTTATCAGTAAAAGTAATAAAAAAAAGTCATGTGTTAAAAAGAAAAATTAATAGAGAAATTATTCGCTTAAGGGAACCGTGAAAAATCACAACACTGTTATTAATGAAAATGATGCCTTATTAATTTTAGTAATAAGTACTTCTGGTACTGTGGTATTAAAAATTGTTTGAATAGGTACCGAATATAATTCTATACACTGTTAGAATTTTCATTCTTAAATTATGTTAAAATAACCGGCTGCATTTTGTCCATTCGATAAACCATAAAATTCACGGTAAAAAACGTTTCTTTTTTTACCTTTACAGCTTTAAAACCGTTTACAACTAGTGTGGTTATAAAGCCATGAATACAAAACTATACGGTTTTTTAACCATTTACAACAAGCATTGTTTTAAAAACGTAAAGAGAATTCGTTAAGTAAAGGACATTGGAGAGTGCAGGACACAAATTGGAGAGAGCAGGTCACTGGAAACTCTCCATGTGGTGAAGAGAATGCAAGAAATATTATGGTGTGTTAATGCTGGAACTTAAACCCCAGTTCTGTCAGTCATGCGACTGACGGATTAGCCCTCTTGGTAAAATATGTACGAATTTGCTAGGAGCTAAGTATCTTCTTTAGGTGGGGCTTGGTAAGTGAGGTAAAATAATAGTTGTTTAACCGTATTAGGTGGAAGCAGTTAATATATGTAACTCACAGTTAACAGCTTAATTGTCAGCTTATTTATAGTTATTTAACTTTTTTGTTTGAATATGGTGTAAAAACAATTAAATAAATTGTTATTTATCTGCTTTTTTCTTCTAATTATGTATGTACCAAGGTACCTAAAATGGGCACTGCCTCAATAAGTTTTTATGCCCATCCCCACAAATAATAAGTACTCAACGAAAATTGCTTGTTTATTATAAATTTTAACAATCATGAGTGAACCTTCAGCAATATGTATCATAACTGGGAAAGACACGTGGAAGAATATTAATTAAGAACAACATGGAGTTATTTTAACTTTATTAGTTGTATCGGTATGAATTTGAGTTTTGAGCAAGATTTCGTTAAATTTCGTAACAAAATTATTTTCTTATGCAGTAAAAAAGGTGAAAATAAATCACTTTCGAAAGTATGAATAAAACTTCAAATGAGGGAAGATTTTTATGAAGGTTGTCAAATGTGTACTTCCGAAGTTCTATTAACCTTTTACGCTTCCTAGCTGATATTTAATTTTGATTTGTGAAACTACTTTATGAAATAAAAAAACAAGTTCAACTTAATTAACAAAATAATATTTTTTTTACAACACAAATATAAAATTTATAGATCAACCGTTATAACTTATCTTTGAAATAGATTTTTAGATCATTAGAATTGAGTAGTAATTTGTTATATTAATTATAAATTGTTAAGAATTTATCCAAAGCTGTATTTTCAGGCTGCAATTAGTTCAACTTTGACATTAATCACTCTTTTTATATTTAACAATAGATAAAATAATCAGTATTATGACTTTTAAGTAATGGGGC